TAAGAGGAAGTAATCCTAAATATAAAATTAAATTATATCAATATTCTACAAATAATAAAAGATGACAATCCTAAAGAATAAGTAATCAACATGATAATTAAAATATAAACAATGAAATAAAAAAGGGGAAGAATTTATCAGTAATGTTAGAATAAGATAAATTAAAAAAACAACTCAAATATAATATTGTAAAATAAATAGTATCAAGAGAATTAAAATAAATAAATAAATCAAAATCAAAACTTTTTATTTAAATTAGGCTAACATAAAAAAAATAACAAAAATAAAAATAAATAATAAGAACTCATTCATTAAATAAATTAATAACCATCATAATAATAAATAATAATATTAATAATAATAATAATAAATAAAATAAATAAATAAAACTGGAATAAGAAAACATATGTTGAGCTAAATAATAATAATAAAAAAATTCAGACCCAAAAATAATAGAAAATAAAAAAAGAGTAAAAAGGTCCAAAATTTAAAATTTTCAGATTTGAGAGGGAAAGATTTTAGGGTTATAGGTGTGCTTTTCTCCAAAAAAAAAATAAGGAGGCCATGAAATGGTGGAGGTGAGGTTAATGAAAGCTATGATTTTGGGTGGTGGAAGTTAGTGTGAGAGAGGGAGAGAAAGAGGAAAAGTGGGAGAGGGACTTTCATAGTAAGTTTTGTGTCTCGGGATGATGATGAATTAAGGAAAAGAAAAAAATGGTGAATGGAGAAGTGGTGGATCATGATCCTTGAAGGTGAACTTTTTAAAAAAAAGAAAGTAAAAATGAAAATATGTGGTTGAATGGACGTATAATATGCTCCTAATAGTAACATGTCAAGAAGCAAAATTTTTAAAAATAATACATGATAAAATTTACTTAAATTTTTGAAGCTCTTTGCTTGCTTTCTGTTCTTCCTCCTTTTCCAAATTCTTGAACTCTTTTCTCATGGTTCCTCTCCCTTTATATTGCTAAGGTTTTTATGAAATACCAAAAATTTAAAAATTTTCCTCTTTATGTATAAAGTAATATTAATTTAAGAGTTTGACTGTTTGTAATATTTCATTTTCCTTTGAAGAATTAATTCTAATTTTTTTCATTTTATTAAGAGAAATTTTTATTTTTTATTTAAAATCCTTTGTGTCTATTCCTTTTTTGTAATATTAAAATTTAGATTAATTATTTATTTTTTAAAAGAAAACAATTTTTTAAATAAAAATTGCATTGTTCACACCTGCACTCCTACAATTCAAGAATAGACAATTTATATGGAAACCAATTCCAGAAGATACAATTTATATGGAAATAGAGAGAGTTATTATAGCGCATCTGTATGATGCTGGGACTTGAGCTTATCTAGCTCTAACTTATTTTTTACATTCAGAGGATCAATATCCATAAAGGATTATATAAAGAGGTCTTATCAGGAGATTTAAAGGCTTCCTTGTTTGAAACTTTCCAAAAGCTATCTAGATTCATACCCAACAAGTCTTGAATAGACCTATCCCTGGAGCTTTGGCTAAGTTCTTATTGCAACATGTTCATAATCATAAAAACTTCCTTCTCTTCCTCATTAGGTTCTCCTAAGCTTCTCAAATCATGTGAGGGCAGAATTGCACTATCAACAGGGACGTTGTCCCCTTTCCCAGAGCTTCCCATCTCTTGTTTTGGTTTAGCTTTGGATCTTGGCAATTTTTTTGGCTGGTGATTTAGATTATCTTCAGCAAGAGGTTTACGATGGTGGTTGGGAGCAGATGAACCAGACTGACTTGATTTGTTAAATTCAAGACTTCTAGAAGTATTTAAGGGGTTAGAAGGGATGGAATGTTTTTGTTGATCTTGCTCGGATTCGAATCCCCTCTAATTTGCGCAGGAATTGGACATCCAGTTTTAAATTCACTTAAGCAAATTTGGAGCAGCTTAAGCAAAAATTTTCGCTTAACAAATTGGCTTAAGCGATTTTCTCTTTTCCTTGAAAAAAATCGTGTTTCTAGATCTGTCTGCCTCTTTGACTCCCAAACACAGTCCAATCCCAACATGACAAACAACAAATCTTTCCCACTCCATATTTGATTTTTTCTCAAACTCAAACCAAGCTTTTGTTTTTCAAGTTAGTTGTGGTGTAATTGGCAGTGGGTATACTTCATCTTCATCTTCTTCTAACTTAAGCCAGTTTTTGAGTTCATTTTGGTGGTGGCTCTTTGCTTGGTCGCAACTTATAGTGAAATCTCTTTCTTTAAGCTGAACAATGTAACTAGTTATGCTCACAACTTTTTCTTTTGATAGATATTGCGCTCTGATGCAAAGCTTCCCCCCACACATACATGAAACTGTTCTTTTGTCAGGATATGTAAAACCCAATATTCTTTACCCTTGTATTGGACTTCGGGAGATGAATAACTTTATGGTACTTGCGAAATTATTCATATATCCTGAAGTATACTCATGTGGGGTTGTCTTCGTTGTCCTTTTTATACAACAAATTGGATGAGAAGTAAGAGATAGACCTAGAAACACAATTTTTTTCAAGGGAAAAGAAAAATTGCTTAAGCCAACTTGTTAAGCAAAATTTTTTGCTTAAGCTGCTCCAAATTTGCTTAAGCGAAATTAAAATTGGATGTCCTGTTCCGGCGCAAACTAGAAGAGATCCAGATCCATCCTGCTCAGAGTAGGAAGAATCTAAGATATTAAATCTAGATCCTGAAAAATTGTCTTTCCCTCTAGGTTTAGGGTTAGTGTTTCCTAGGGTCCTAAGCTAACCCACTCTTTTCCTTATAGGTCTTTTAACAAGTATCCAAGAGCCATACTTACCCTGTTCATTAGTTGGATTACCTTCAGAGGCCCCTGAGACCTCTCCATAAGGGAAGGTCCTTGTGATACTCGCTCACTACCTTATTTTACTATGGGGTCTACAGGTTTGGGGTCAGAGGGACAATAGTCAAGTTTTGAAACAAGGATTTCAGGGCAGCAATCTTGCTTGTGCCCATACCTTCCACATTTAAAACAAATGGGGTGCAAGCTCTTATATTCAATTCTAAATTCCTGCCTCAAAACCTTAAAGGATGGGGTTAATTTCTTTCTTAAATCAAGCTCAACACATATCCTAGCAAATCTATCCCTAGATACTAAAGGGAAGTATGAGTATCAACCTTTAGCATTGTTCCCAAACAGGTTTCTACATGCCATAAAAATTTGTCATTATAAAGTTATAAGGGAAGGTCAAGTGTTTGATCCTAGGTAACAATTTTTCTAAGGTTTTGGTCCTTGGATCTAAATAAAGATCTCCAACATTGAACTAAAAGATAATGATCAAATGTTAGTCATGGACCTTCAAATAGAGCATGCTTATAGTCTTCCATATTATCAAACTTAACCATAAAATTCTCATTAGTAAGGTCTAAGATTTTGAAAGGCCCATTTTTGCCCCAAATATTTCCCAATATTTAAGTGAGAAAGTTAAAGCTTTCAGTTTTACCTAACAATTTAACGATTAGGATTGAGGACCAATGGAAACACTACATTTCATAGTCTTTTAAGACAATCTTTAGCTCTAGACACAAAACTTGGTTTTCATCATTCAAAGATTTGTTATCATCAGAATTAGCAACAATATTCAAATTTTCTAAAACTGATCTTACAATTTCCTCGTCACATAAAACCATATCTAAATCTTTTTTTTTCCCCCCTAAAACTGAATCTTTATATGAAAGAGGGATAGGAGGATCAAGGTTAGAAGGCACCTAGAAAGATTGGTCAAGACTAAGAATATCCTCTTGCATGTATGATTGAAGAGCCTCTAATGAAAGATCTATGTTGACTATCACCTTCTTTGAGCTTCTGCTTGGTAGATCTTGTTTTACAGTAGGATGTTTTTCCGTTACAACCCAATCCATTCTCGTTCCACACAAGCAGTCCGATAAGCATTTGAGAAGAACCCTGCAGAGCCATTGGATAGTTGCCAAGAACGAGGTGGTACAGGGAAGAAACTTAGGAGAGATTAAGGTTGAAAAAAACCCTAGCAGAACCCTTTATACTTTTCTCATTATTCATTAAAGACCAATTCTTGAAGACACATTTGTTTTTACAATTTAACATATATATATATATATATATATATTTTAGTTTTATTTAATATAATAAAATATATATTATTAATAACTAAAATGTTTATTCTTTTTAAATTTATTAAATTTAATAATAGTCAAATAATATATTTTAAATTAATTATTAAAAATTTAATTTAATAATAGTTATTTAGTGTATGAAAAAAAGAATATTGTAATCTTTATCATCATAATTACTCACCCGTGATCAAAACAATTTCTTTTCATAAAAATAAAGTAAAGTATTACTAAAAACAAAATGCACTTTTAATCTACATTCACTCATAATAAATAATTGTCAAAATAAAATAAGACATTTAAAAAAAATACGTAACATTTTTTTTAAAGTACCTAATATATATATTTTAATTTTGATTATTTAAGATAAGATCATATAAAATTACGTAAGTTTCTTAAAATTTCACGTGATCACCTATTTTTAAGGTCTAAAATTTTCAGTAATCTTCCTTTTTTTTTTCTCTCGTTTTATCCTTTGTATTACTTGAATTTATTACTTGCACACGCACATTTACACACTTATGCTTATGCGTGATAATGAATATGAAATTCATTAAAAAAATTAATTATAAATTTTTTAAAACTAAAGTTATATAATTTTAAATAAATTATAATAAAATAATTTAAAAAACAAAATGTATTGAATTTTCATAAATTAATAAGTTATTTTTACTTTAAAAAATTAAAAATTAATGCTTTATTTAAAATTTGGGGGAGAGAAAAAAGAAGAAAAAAAAGTTGAATTCCAGTGAAAAAGAAGAGAAGAATAAGAGTTTAAAAAGATTTACAAGTGGACTTGTATGCGTCTCATTGTGAACTTGCAAATAAATTTTATAATGAAATTAGTGTTCCTCTTCCTTCTCTTTATCCATCAACCAAGAATCTATGCAAAAGAAAGTCTGCAGAAGAGTGTCTTATCAAGTTGCTTATCAACTCTCCCACCATATTTAACCGTAGCCATCTTCTTTTGTCCCTCTCTCTCTAAAATGGCTATGCCTTCCTTCTCTAATACTTCAACACACTTGTTCTCTCACTACAACTGCTCCTCTCTTCTACCAAACTACTCTGTCAGAACCCGCAACGCAGCTCTCTTCTTCTTCTCTTCCAAGCTCAACCATTGCTCTGTCTCCACCCGTTTCCTTCATTCTCCGCCCGCCGCCGTCTCCTCAGCCGAAAATGGCGACGGCGGGTTCACGGGGAGTGGTGATGGTGATGGCAGCGGCGGCAGCGGTGGTGGAGGCGGTGACGAAGAGGAGGAAAGGGATCGCAATAGGAAAGAGGCCATGCTGGTGCTGGCGGAGGCCAGCAGGTCACTGGACAGTTTTCCGGCGGACTTGGCGGCGGCAGTCATGGAGGGGCGGGTGCCGGGTTCGATCGTGCTGAGGTTCTTCGAGTTGGAGGAGTCAGTTGTGTTGCGGTGGTTGCTCAAATTCGGAGGGTTCCGAGAAAGGTTGCTGGCAGATGAATTGTTCTTAGCAAAGCTTGTAATGGAGTGTGTTGTTGTCATTTTCACAAAGGTTTTTCTGTCATCCTATTTTTGTTTTTGGGTCTTTTTAGTGTCCTAAGCAATCTATTATTAGCAAGTTTTTCTTAGAAATTATGGTAAAATGCATTGAAAAATACTCTTACCTTTTTATATTTTTTAATAAGAAATTTTTATTTTTAATTTCTTAATTAATATCGGGCATTACTTAACATTTTTCTTTATTTTTTTTGTTTTTATAAGAATAATACAATAAAATGTTCATCACTGATTAAAAATGAGTTTAAGTAATTAAAAATTATAATTTTTACTAATAAAAAAATATTTATTGTTGAAAATGTAAAAATATAATAAAAATATTTTTAAAAAATATTTAAAATTATTTTAATAGGTAATATACTTATTTGTTTATTTTTTTATGTTCCGATTTGCTGGAGAATAGATGGTTTTTAATTTTTATTTTTGTACAAAAAATTGTCAATATTAGTAAATTCTACGCTTGGGGAAGGGAAGAAAAATACACTGATGTACATGTTAGAATGTTACTTACTCATTGTTCAATGAACTTGTTCTTTGTTTTCTTAAGATAAAATGTTGGTCGTCTTTTTTCTCATTTGTGCATTCTCATGTCAATAGTCATTTTTATGTTGATACCTCGAAGCTTTCAAAGTATGTTGTGGGAGTTTTTCTCCCCAAAATCGGCCATGTAATCAAGAGTGATGTTTGTGAGCTCTTTCAATTTTAAGTTGTTTGGATTGGTCACAGTTTATAGTTAGATTCAGTAACAAAACAATGACAATTTATGAATGTGAATCAATGGTATTTTTTCAGCTGAGGATATTGTGCATTAATTTAGACCTTGCTACAAATTTTGAGACCATTGCTTTAATCTGATGGTGCTTCTTCTACCAAGTGGTTATAGAGTATGGATGCAATAGCCCTCAAAGTTTAATAGTTTTTGATACATCTTGTCTGCGTCATGTCCCAATCAAATTATATAATTTGCTTGTCCAGAAAAAATATAAGGCAGATGAGAAAGTGAGATGATATTATGAACCAAAGTTTTTTTATGACATGGATTTAGATTTTCATCGCTTACCTACAAATGAATATAATTTCGATGCACAACTGTCCCATTAAGCCCCTTGTTCTTGGTACTTTGTTGTTTTTGAGTGAAGCGTCTATCATAAACATGATCAATCTGTGTAATGGATATCCTGGGTGCTTTTAGGTTGCTGCAGAATTGGAGCGCCGTAAAGAAAAATTCACCAAGGAGCTGGATTTTGTTGTTGCTAATGTGGTACGCTCTTAAAATCTTCTTCTTTTCTTATTTTCTGACTAAGGAATTTAGAAATTTTCCAACCTATCACTTTCTAGGCATTGAAGTGTTTTTACTTATAAAATGCGAGGAAAGTGTTTTAAGTTCCCTCTTTAGCCTGATTTCTGATTTTGACTAGGGAGAACACGAGAGAATTTTTCAGATTAACTTCTGTTTGCTTTATAAACATTTGAGATAGTGCTGCAAAATTTTCAGATTTTGTATTTAAGCTAAGTAGGATATATGTACATGCCTTCCCCAGAAAATCTATGATAGATAATGTTATGAAATTTCTTAGAACTAGGAATTGTAGCAATTTGAATAACAAGAATGAATAGGTATACTTATGTGAGAAAGGAATCCGAAAAGAGTATTATTATTAATAAGAATACAGGAAGAATTACAATTCATGAATGAATCAAATCAGTCTATCCAAAACAGAAACTGACAACTAACCGACTTGCTGACTCAGCAAGGATACAAGTCCCAAATCTTATTCTAAAAATTCTTCATAACAATGCTTCCCTCTTGAAAGCATCTGTGACCTCAAGGATGAAATGATGAATACTTCTTTTTGAGGTCATAGTTGAATTCCCATGTAGAGTCTTCAGGAAGCTTATGCTTCCATTTAACCAGTACCTTGGTTACAACTACACCTTTCCTTTTCATTGTCATCATATCCAATATAGCCGCAGGTTTTTTCTCATTAAATGCATCTTCAACTTGAAATGGTAAATCTGATGAAGTTACTGTATTGCCAACATGTTTCTTAAGTTAAGAAACATGAAATACATTGTGTACTTTTGACTGTAATGGCAAGTCTAACTTGGAGGCCACTTCTCCAATTTGATCCAGTACCTTGTAAGGCCCAAAGAACTTAGGACTTAATTTAGCATTGCTCCTATAAGTCATTGACACCTGTCTATGCAATTTCACATAAACCAAATCTCCTATCTTATACTGCTTATCTTTTCTATGTTGATCAGCAAGTTGCTTCATTCTCTCTTGAGCTCTTTTAAATTGAAATTTGAGCAATTTAAACATCTCTTCCCTTTTTGACAAGCTTCTATGAATCAACTCAACCTTGGATTCGCCTGGTAAGTGAGGAAGATAAGCTGGAGGTGGTTGACTATATACGATTTCATATGGAGTAGCTTTAATGGCTGTGTGATAAGTGGTGTTGTACCACCACTCAGCTAGAGGAAGCCATTTACTCCACTGATGGGGAGTATCTGTACACATGCAGCTTAGATAAGTTTCTAAATACTTATTCACAATCTCACTTTGACCATTCGTCTGAGGATGATAGCTTGAAGAAAGCTGAACCTGAATGCCTTGGAATGCCATGAATTCTTGCCAAAAATTGCTAACAAATACTGGATCTCTATCATTGGTTATTGAACTTGAACAACCATGCAACTTGAAGACATGATCCATGAAAATTGTGTTACCTCACTAGCTGTATAAGGGTGTGATAAGGCCATGAAATGAGCGGATTTACTCAATCTGTCAACTACTACAAATATTACTTGCTTCCCATGAGAACTGGGTAAACCTTCAATAAAGTCCATGTTAATGTGCTGCCAAATCTGCTCAGGAATTGGGAGTTGTTGCAGCAGTCCAGGTGAAGCAGTGGTCACACTCTTGCATTTTTGACATGTGGCACACTTGGACACAAGTGTTTTAACATCTGATGACATACCCTTCCAATACACCATTAACTTGACTCTTTGCATAGTAGCACAATACCAGAATGAGCTCCAATAGCAGAACAATGTAGCCAATTCAAAAGATCATTTCTGAGCTTCAGATCATTTCCCATCACTAGTTTACCCTTCCTCCTCAATTCCCCTAAATGCCAAGTATGATGTTTATGGGAGACAGCATTAGTTTGCAATTCATTAATTAACTTTTGGATACTAACGTCAGCCACCCATGAATTCTTAATTCTATCTACCAAATCAGATTGTATTTGATGAGTAGTTAGATTTTGGCATTCCACATAATCCTCCACATGCTCAATTCGAGACAAGATATCAGCTGCAACATTTTCATGACCATGTTTATATTCAATAGAGAAATCAAATTCCATTAGCTTAACTAACCACTTTTGTTGAAAAACAGTGGTCAATCTTTGCTCCAGTAAATACTTCAGACTTTAGTGATTAGTTCTGACTATAGAATGTCTGTTAAGAAGATAATGTCTCCACCTTTGTACAACAAATACTATTGCCAGTAATTCCTTTCCATAAGTAGATAAAGATTGCTGTTGTTGGTTCAATACTCTGCTGATATAAGCTATGGGATGATGGTCTTGCATAAGCATTGCTCCAATGCCATAACCAGAAGCATCTACCTCAACAACGAAGACCTTAGTCCAGTCAAGTAAAGTCAACACAGGTGCACTACTCAATAACTCCTTGAGCTGTTGAAATGCCACCTTAGCTTCTTGACTCCAAACAAAACTGTCTTTCTTAAGCATGTCACTTAATGGTTTAGCAACAGCACCAAAACCCTTTACAAACCTTCTATAGTAACCAACTAACCCCAAAAAACCTCGTAGCTGTTTGATAGTTAGTCGTAGTGGCCAATTCCTCACAGCTTCAACCTTGCTAGGATCTGTTAACACAACTTCCTTAGTAATGAAATGCCCCAAGTATTCTACTCTATTAACAGCAAAAAAACATTTAGACTTCCTAGCAAACAAAGAGTTATTCCTCAAGGTAACAAAGACTTGTCTAAGATGGACAACATGATCATCCAAACTGCCACTGTAAACAAATATATCATTGAAGAATACTAAGAGAAACTTCCTAAGAAACTGTTGAAATATTGCATTCATAAGACCTTAAAATGTAGCAAGTGCATTAGTCAGGCCAAAAGGCATGACAACATACTCATAATGTCCTCCATGAGTTCTGAAGGCTGTTTATGAACATCATCCGGGTCCATTCTCACTTGATTATACCCAGCTCTTAAGTCTATCTTGGAAAAGATTAAAGATCTATGCAACTCATCCATTAAATCTTCCATTAATATGATTGGAAACTTGTTCTTAACAGTATTTTTGTTAAGATTTCTATAATCAACACATAGCCTTCATGACCCATCTTTTTTTCCAACCAATACTACGACTCGCATAGGGGCTGTTACTGTTGTTTATCACTCCTGACTTTAAGTACTCTTGTACTAACTTGTCAATCACATCCTTTTGGTGCTTGACATACCTATAAGGCCTTTTATTGTATAAGTGGTATTTTATGATCATGGCTAGGTCTAAAAGGTGGCAGCTGCTCGGTTTCTTCAAAAATGTATGAAAATTCCTCCAAAAGCTGAATTATTACTACTGGTAAAGTAGGCTGGTCTGCATGAGTTGTTAAGGATTGTAGCAATCCCCCATCCTCCTCACATAGCTGCATCATTGAGAAATAGACTCTTTCCTCTAGAGTTTTACCAAGCTGTTATTTCTTCACTGTCTTAATACCACCAGATGTAGCCCCTCTTAATACATGTTTCCTGCCCTGAACTTTAAACTCCATAGTCAACTTATCAAAATTTCAAGTGATGTCCCCTAGTTTGACAAGCCATTCCACACCTAATACAAGATCACAACAGCCCAATGGAATCAAAAGCATATCTGAAGTAAATGTAGTTCTCTGAATTGTCCAAGTAAAGTTTCTCACAATAAAAAAAATACTCAACTTGTTGCCATCAGCTATAGTGACATTCAAAGGCTCCATTTTTTCAATCTTACATCCAAATTTCCTAGCCACCTGTATGTCCATAAAATTATGCATGCTGCCACTATCAATCAAAATATTCAGAGCTAATTTCTGCTTATAACTGGTGACCCTCATAATTTTGAAATTGGCAATGCCAGTTAGTGCATTGACTGAAATTTGAAGTTCCTCCATAGTTGATACATCTTCTCTAGCATTTTTACACATCTCCTCCTCATCCAGAATCTCCATGACATGAACCTGTAGCTTCTTATGAGTTAAGCTATGTTCAGGAGAATATGGCTCATCACAAAAATAACAAAGACCCTTGTAAGCTGGTGTCAAGCTTTTTTTGGGTCTAATCTTATCCTTACCCCTATCAACCACCAAACTAGAAGAACCAAATTTATCAGCAGCTACTGGTCTAGAACCAAGCACCCCTTTGTGTGACTTTGAAACACCAACACTCAAAGCCTGGGGAACATTAGTAGCTTCATACAGTCTTGCCAACGAAAATGCCTTACTCACATTGGTTGGTTGAAACATTCACATTAACATTTGTATATCTTGCTTCAATCCACCTAAGAAACAGTTCAGCATATAATCCTCAGGAAAATTCAAACGAGTAATAATAGCATCAAACTCCTCATAAAACTCAACCACAAATTTCTTGTGCCTCAAACGCATCAATTCAGCCATGGGATCGTCGCAGACTTCCCCAAACCTCTCAAGAACCAATTTCTTGTAAGCAACCCAAGGAAGATTAGAACAATTGGTGGTTTTATCCATGGCTGTGTGCCATTGTAATGCATGTCCCTCCATGTGAACCATCGCAAGTTTAACACACAACATCGGGTGTATTATCAATAAGGAAGAATTTATCACACTGATACAGCCATTGATTCACATTTTTGCCATTAAAACGGGAAAAATCGATGCGAGCAAGTCTTGTACCACAAGAATAAGAAGAGGGACGAGGCTCCCCGTGAAGAAGGTGAGATCCTGAACCAGCACCATTAGTTTGTACTACCAAACCTTGCAAGGTTTCCTTCAAAGAATCATCCAGGGTTCATTGAATGGAGCCTGCAAGTTCAGCCAAACGAGCCTCCAATCGCGCCGATACACAATCTTTGATGTCCTTCAACACTTGAGCTTCCGTAGCACCACACCTTCCTCCCACCATTACCAACAACTCCGAATGAACCATCCAGACTGATACTAATTGTTATGAAATTTCTTAGAACTAGGAATTGTAGCAATTCGAAGAACAAGAATGAATAGAGATACCTATGTGAGAAAGGAATCCGAAGAGAGTATTATTATTGATAAGAAGAATACAGGAAGAATTACAATTCATGAATGAATCAAATCAATCTATCTAGCTGTTATTTATAGCCTAACTAACTCTAAATTCCTTTCCAAAACAGAAACTGACAACGAAATGACTTGCTGACTTAGTAAGGATACAAGCCCCAAATCTTATTCTAAAAATTCTTCATAACAGATAACCCCCTTATGTAGTTAGTTAGAGTTGGTTGGTTAGTTTGTTGGGCTGGGATTGTTAGTGAAAACTTTTGTTAGTTACTAATAAAATTGTAAATAGAAGAGAATATAAATAATAAAGAGGGAAATAGAGGGGGCAGGGAGTAATAATTATTTAGTTGTGGGAGAGTTTCCTAGTCTCTCTTTATACAGGAGAGTTTTTATCAACTAGTATGAGAGCTTTGATCTTGGAGATGTGGGTATCAAATTTTGAAGATGATTCCAAAGTTTGATGGGAAGGAAGCCTATTGGTGGATTACAAGCCATGCTGATTTAGATCGTATATTCACATAATCCTTTATTTCACATGGATTCAGAATGTTTCAGTTATCAAACTACTCTGTTTGAAGATGATAAACAAAAGGATTTATGAGGACATGATAATCTATTCTATTTCCATTTGTAAAAATAAATTGTATGATTTCCCAAAAGTTGGCTACTCTGTTTGGTTGGATTACAAGTGATGCTGATTTAGATCTTATATTCACATATTCTTTTATTTCAACTCACAGAACCATTCATCGGATGGATTCAGAATGTTTCAGTTATCAAACTACTCTGTTTGGTGGATGATAAATAAAAGGGTTTTTGAGGATATGATAATCTGTTCTATTTCCATTTATAAAAATAAATTGTAGATTTTTTTTAATATTGCACTGGGCTGGGAAAATTCGCAGGGTTAGGTTTTTTCTTTTTTCAGTCTAGGGTGGCTTGATATTGGATCTACAATAGGCTTTGAAACCATTTTGAATTTAGGCTTTAAGCCTAACTCAATCCCAAAAGCTGACTCATAAGATGATGATTGCTTTAGCCTTTCTAAACTATTATTTAGGTGTATCTATAGTTGATGTGGGGGACCTCAACAAATGGTCATACAATATACTGCTTTTAAGGTTTCAGCTCTATCTTCTAGTCTACAGTTTGTGAACTGGACTTGATGGCATATAGGTTTTCAATTTGTTGATTTGGATAAACAAAATGGTAGTCATTTTTCTACAGATCTTGTAATAGTTATTGATTTAATAGTTTATGCCTGCACCTTTGGAACCTTGTTTACTTTCATTCCTAGAAGCTGTTTGGTCTTGCATATTCCCATTAGTACGAATCATATTTGAATTAACTTATTGCACTGTGATTTAATATTGGAACCATCTAATTCTGTTTTCTAATTTATCTTAGGTAACAAGCATTGTAACAGGTTTTGTGCTTGTGTGGTTTCCTGCACCCACTGTTTCTCTCAAACCTCCTCTTACAGTGAGTGCTGGACCTATTGCTAAATTGTTCTATGGATGCCCTGATAATGCCTTTCAGGTTAATTCTCTTTTAACTTCTGCATTTATTCTATTTGTTTTTTTTTTGGTACCAACTACCAACTTTCTGTATTTCCTTTTTCTCTATTTAATGTTTCAATTTTTAGTTCTAATTGTTATTGTAGCTATTATTTGATGTTGATAAGTTTTCATTTCCTCAACAGATGGCTTTGCCTGGAACATCATATACACTTCTACAAAGAATAGGTGCTATAGTGGTATGTGTTGGATCATTTAAAGCAAGTCAAATAGTTTTTTCCTTATAAATGAGGGTCATCTCCATCTCTTATGCAGCGTAATGGCGCGAAGCTATTTGTAGTTGGCACTGGTGCTTCATTGGTAAATTAACACTTTACTTCCTTACAAAAATACCCTTTTAGCATGTTCTAGCTTTTTGCAATCTCTAAAATTTTCTCGTCTGCTCTGGAAGATGCTTTTGGGTTTTTACAATTAGAATTCAGTTGATCTTCAAAATATCCTAGGAAAAAAAATGTATGTTATACTTCCTGCACCAGTTTCATTATCTTGATAATTAGACAAGGCTTTTAAAGGCCATTGATGACTGTGAAAGATATCTGTCCGCATGAGTTGTGGTGAGAATTGATCTCTGCATGATCTTAGTAGAAAGTTATGGGATATGTCCTTTAATTGTAGTAATTATCTAATTATGGTAATTACCTTAATTTGTGTATGGCCAAAAATAGTTATACTTTCTGTGTATATATATCGCACAATATCTCATGTAATTCTACCAAGTTAGAAAATAATTCTTACCGTGTCAGTTTGACATGATACAAAAGCTATAGTATGAAGTGCAGTATGTTCAGAAGTTAAGGGAACCGAAGTATGAAGTTGAGTAGTAGAATGGTTGAGCAATGGATTGAAGTAGACCAAGAGAGGGAAAAATATAGAGTCCTTCAAGCAGAGTCTTGTGAGAAGCTTGACATTTAACAAGGTAGTGATTAGGATGGAATTCAAAGTAGACTTGATTGTCTCTTGCAAACCTACTAACACTAAGAAGATTCTTAGTGATAGAGGGAACAAGGAGCATATTGGTTAGTGCAAGAGTTGTGTCATTGTGCAATGGTGCGGTGAAATGTGAAGAGCCCATAGAGGAAATAGCTAAACCTTGTTTGTTGCCAAGTATAACTTTGTCAAACCCAGAATTCAGGGTGGGTTGAACAATCTGATGAGGATCACTGGTAACATGATGTGTAGCACCAGAATCAGCAATCCACTGCTGAGAAGGAGATACAAACTGAATAGCACTGGTGAGGTTGGCCATTGCTGATGAAGAAAGAGGAAATTGAGAGTGAGGTTGTTGTGAGGGATAAAATTGATGAGGATTGGTTGGTGGAGGTGGAAATTCTTGAGCAGGGGCATAGGTGAAGTGTTCTTGTGGATGATGTTGATTTAGAGGAGCATTGTGAGATGTAGGAGGTCGCTGAAAGGAGTTGGCTTGAGGTTGATGGTACGGAGTTGTAAAACGATGACTGCTAACAGGTGCAGGTCCTGAAATCCCATTCTGAACATTGAATCGGTGGTAGCAACTTTGAGCATCATGCCCATATTTGAAACAGATTTGGCATTGAATTGATCCACAGCCACGACCGCGAGCACCACGGCCAAACCGACCACCACCACGGCCATGAAAGCTGCACACTGACTAGAGAATTACTGAGAAGCATCTTCCGAAAAAAACCGAAAATTAGGAAACAAATGAGTGGCATGAGCTTGTGCAGGTAAGGTTGAATCTTGGATCAGAATGATGGAATGGATCTGATTAGGTTAAGATTCTTGAACCAGAGTAGGAAGTAACACTTGGATCAGATTGAGCCAGGCAGGATTTACCAATTGGCGATTCCTTTCAAGACGAGATTCTTGACCTAGAAGCAAGGATTTAATCTCACTATATTCTTAGTAATCAGATTTGCTGGTGAGGACAGTAACAATGGTGTCATATTCTTTGGGAAGACCATCGAAGATGATGTCAAGTTGTTCACGAAGAGGAATAGGATTACCGATTGTAGCAAGCGCATCTGAGATCACCTTGGTGCGAAGGAGGTATTCTGAGATCGAACGAGTCCCTTTCTTTGTGCTACGCAGTTCCAAATGCATTTGATGATGCCTTGGCCTGAGTTTGGCCATGAAAATGACCATGGACCCTCTCCCATAGTTTCCAAGAATGAGTACACCCGATGACACGTGTGAGTATGGATGTTGAGAGAGAAGATTGGAGCCAGGACAGGAGGAGTTGATCCTGTTGCTCCCAGATTTGATAGGTAGGATTGACTGTGCCTGCATCACGTTCTGCATCTGAGAGAAGTTTTGGTGGAATGTGCAGATTAACAACGAAATGATGTAGCCGATGGCCTTTTGAGTACAGATTCAACCTGTTGTTTTCAAAGAAGGTAATTCTTGTCATCTAGTTTTTCAATGATAACCTGAGAAAAGGTTGTGACACCAGAGGTGTGACCAAGTTGGATGCCATTAAGATAAAAAAGAGAAGCTCATGATACCATGAAAGAACTGAGAGAATTCATAAAAAGAAGAAAGAGAATAAGAAACCGAATTGTAAACGCTGTAATTCGATGTTCCTAAAAGATGAGTGTGTACAAGATATATATGGTTTATGGGTACGATTGTTGTGCTAAATACAACTGAATCTGTTATAAATCATACCAGACTGAACAGAACAAGTCTTAACCTAGAGGTTCTTTTATTATATCTTGCAGCTCTGTTCTGACAGAGTATCACACATATATCTCTAACAAACTCAATGGCATCATGTGATCTATATAACCGACCTTACCTAGTGAGATAAGGCTTGGTTGTCGTTGTATATGTTATTGAAAAATAAAGAATAATTTGTCCTTTCTCATTTAACTCTCCAAAGTCAAAACCTGTATAAATTCTTGTAAATTGTCTTGCCTCATGACCAATATGATTGTTTAAATCTCCACCTATAGAAATCTTTTCAGACTGTGTAATAATCAAACCCTCTAAATCCTGTCAATGCTTATTTTTCTTCAAAGCAGCTTCTAAGTGAACTTGCATAGCATAAGTATTGTGCAAACAATAACTTCAAAGAAATGATTTGATTTCAAATCTTTGAATCTCTACTACATTCTTCTTCCAAGTGTTATCCACAATGATACCTACTTTATTCTTTCTTCTATCTGTCCATGTGTATCAAAGTTTTAAACTTGTAGTATCAAGCTTCTATGTTTTTTCTCCAACCTATTTTGTTTCTTGAAGATGTCATGTTAATCTTCCTACAACTTATGGTACCCACCACTTCCAAAGATGTTCCTATCAATGTACCAATATTCCATGAATCAATCCTGATCAAGTGCTCCTAGAATAACTTCTTTACCCACATTTGTTGAGCCAAATGTGAGGGATTCTTGCTCATTCAACATAAAATCTGGGCAGTAATGTAGCAGCTCTAACTCATTTGACATTGAACTCAAGCTACACAACGCGCTACTTTCAAGTAACAACCTTGTCCTAGTACAATATCATCGTGAGTGATCCATGTATAGGTTTGGACAAGTTTTACGTTGCTTGTTGAAGGCATACGTAATACCACCCTCCTCCTTTACCTAGTCTTAAGGACTGGCTATTGACTATAGGTGGAATTACTGTGAAAGATATCATATTTATTAGAAATCAACTTCTTGTTTTTCTGTTCTTCATTTTTCTTCTTAGTCTCACAGAAATAGATCTTCACTTCGTTTCTTACTTCACATTGCTATGTTGCTTGATGACTTTACCACCTTCGTGACTTGGAAAATAAGAACAAGGAAGTATATAAAGGAATCAGTTCAGATACATCATCAAATACAGTATAGAACATAAAGTAGATATTTATTTTAGAGATATCTTCATTGTGGTGTCACCTGTTCCTCTTGAGCATATTGTACATACAAGGCATACAGGAGCTAAAAATTCCCAAAAGGGAAATGTTATCTCTTATACTAACTATACTTTCCCTGCTTGACTTGTATTGTTTTCTGTTTGACATTTTTCTAGTATATAATGCGGTGAAGTTAAATGTGTGACAAGATCAAGAAACAGGACTTAGGATTTGTCTTTAGTGTGATTTGTCTTTAATTTCAACATAAATACACTGTTGTTTGTAACAATTAAAACAAACCACAGAATTTTTTATTTGGTAGCTTGACTGCTAGCAATGCCTTTTCAGGTTGGTATAAGTATAACAAATGCATTGATCAATGCACAGAAGGTTGTTCATAAAACATTTGCTCCTGAGGCTGAGAATTTACCTTTAATATCGTCCAGTGTCGCATATGGAGTTTACATGGTTGTAGTTAGCAACCTAAGGTATTCCATTTTCATAACAAAATACTATCAATGTGTTTTCCTCACATTTCTTCTGACTTTATGTTCTTTTGTGATATTGGATACCATATCAAGACAACACAAGTTGTGAATAGATGAATGCACCCGAGGCTACATTCATGTGTTAATTGAATATCTAAGTAGTGTAATTCTTTCCAATTAAATCACATGATATTTTGGAACAGACTGACTTTTGGGGTTAGATATATTTTAGGAATGAAAATTCCTGCCCGCAATGAAAAATATTTTGGGTGCACATGTTTTTACACTAGTATTTGAGATTGAAGAGAGCTGCTGTGGTGATCCTGCAAGAAGTGTGTAAAGCTATACAAAGCATTATTTGAAACCTACTTTTTCTTATTTTATGGATTCGTACCCCTACTTTGTTTTGTAAATGAAATAATATATTCAAACAAAGAGCTAGAGCGAGAAGGTTAAGAAAATAGCGGACTCTTTCTGTTACAAATATTGGGATTACTGAAAATCCTTTTAGTGCCAGCATCATCTTACTATCGAAATCTCTAAAATATCTGGTACAAAATCACAAATGATAAAGAGAAAACTGGTATACTGCTCCAAAATATTTAGGCCTAGATTCTATAAACTTCTGGAAGTATTTATATGGGAGAGACAATTGAATCAAACTTCTCTCAAAACTCAAATTAAAATCAACTTATGCACCCTACTTTTTTTAGAAGCCTAGATGTCTAACTTATCCTCTCCGAAATCTGAAGTGCATAACTTGATTTTAAATTTTGGGAAAAGTTTGATTCATTTTACCTCTATTTTTTGTCTTATAAGTACTTGTTGATAAGTTTATCCAAACACAGCCTTAACTTGTGATAGCAATCATGGTGCATGTCATCTCTTGTGAGGAGGAAAATTTATCCACCAGTGACGTCCTGTCACTTGCAATTTTTGAAGACAATGAGGATCTCTATATGTTCAGAAAAAAAAAAAATCTAAGGAATTTTATCTGTGATCAGGTACCAAGTACTTGCAGGAATTATTGAGCAGCGGATTCTAGAACCATTACTACATCAAAACAAGCTTATACTAACGGCAGCATACTTTACTGTTAGAACTGCCAATACTTACTGGGGATCACTATTGTAAGATTATTGATTTAGCTCAATTAATCGTTATGCACTATAAAGGGTTCTCCTTTTTTCAGTCCTCATTAATTGTTAAACATATCTGAGTAGGTGGGTGGATTTTGCTCGATGGGCTGGAGTCCAGAAGATAAAGGATTAAGCATTTCTTAGCATGATATGACCAGATATTATGATTTCAATTGGTTATATTGATTCATTGAAAGAACATCAAATGCGGTGATTAAATTTGTTCCCCTAATTTTGTTTATCATCCTCCCTTATCTAAGAAAAATTGTACATTTGTCAATAACAAATGTTAGAAAATAGTGACAGTCACCATCTTGTCTAGTTGAGCACAACGTATGGCAGTACAGATGGACAACTACACAAGATCCATTTATCACACAGAGTTTTATACAACTGGCAGTTATTTTCAATTGTTTACTGTGCGTGCTGAAGTCAATGTACTTATTTGTGTTCTTAATAACTGTTTGTTTCCCTTTCTTTCTCTTCCAAATTACTCATCTATTTGCTTCCACAGCTTCTGCAATAAACCTAAATCATCTATATCTACAGCTTTTGAAATAGTAGATTCAAGCATTGCAAGAACAAAAACACTAGGTACTATATTTACTACTGAACTGGTTATGAAATTAGGATAAGCACTCGTTCACGATGTACACACGCTTTAAGAGTTTAGTGAGAGCATAAAAAAATAAGCAATTGTAAAATAGTATGTTGTATGGTTAAATTTGTTAATGAGAAAAAGAAAAAAATTGCTTATAGTAGCAACTATTTCATATCAGAATGGGGCTCACACACATACACATGAATTTGAAATAAGAATAAACTATACAATTCTTCTCTACTTGCAAATATAAAGGTGCTCTTTGATAAGTCTTGGAGTGGCCATGTGATTCAAAATGAAAATAAAATAAAATGGATCACCTTTGATCTTTAGATTAGAGAAAAGGATATTGGTGTTACACTCAAGAAAGAAGATGAGATAGTGAATGATAAGCTATTGGTTGATCGCTACAAATTTCCTTAATAAGAATGAATTTGTTCTTTGTCCAAGAGGCGCAGCCAATATCTTACAATCTGGAGGGAAAAAAAATTCATTCAACTTTTAAGTTCATTCTTTTTGAATCACATATCTTTCTATTTATAGGAAAATATAGTGAAAAACAAGTAAAAAGGAATAAATCCTAATAATAAATAATTCTAGTAATAGAAAATCCTAATGTAATATGAAATAAATTCTAATATCATAATAGAATCTTTGTCCTAACAGAAAAAACAAGTTCTAATAAATCACAAATCTAATAAAATCAATCTCAAATTCTAATTACATTTGCAAATAATAATATCAAATAATGTATGTCCATGCATGGTCCAACTCTTTGTTTTAATGCATCTGTTAGACTTTTCCTTTAAATCTTTAACTCAATTTTTTTTTGAAATTATTCATTTAAAACTCTTTTGAACCTTTTAACTTGTTCTTTATAATTCACTCGAAATTCAAAATTTTTTTTTTTTTTTTGAAAAACACTCAAATTAAGTTGTATCAATTCTTGATTACTTATTATTAAATTCACCCGGAATCGTGAGATGCCAGCAAAATTATTTTTTATATGTATATATTAGAAAATAAAAATGAATTTTTTATATAAATAATATAAAAAAATTAAAATAAATTATTAATAACACATTAAGAGAGATTATAAAATTGAACATTAGTATAACAAACAGTTCGAAGGTTCAATTGGTAAAGGTATTAAAAGTAAAATTGACTATACTTAAACTAAATTTTTTAAAATCTCCTTGTAAACAATATTTGAACTAACACTACTATTTTCATCATTGTTTTTATATTTGAAAACCTTTTTTTATTTATGACCTGTAACTCTTAAAAATACAACATATAGTTTGGCAATGAGAGAAAAACGAGTCTTGGTAAATAAAGTCCAACATGTTTGAGAGATTTTTTTTTTTATTTTTATTGATTGTCATTAAAAAAGAAAGAGTTGTTGAAATTATCTTCTTTTGAACTTGATGTTGTAAAAAATGACTCGAAATAGCTAATCAACAATTTAGTTTGAGGCTTGTAGAACATTGTCTTTAAGGATTACTTTGATGTAGTAAAAAATTTTTCAGGATACAACAGACTCTTCTTGTCTAAAAACTAAGGCTCTCAAGAACTATTAAGATCTAAAACTCGTAACCCAAAAAATAATTCTGTACCTATTTTGTACAGTTTTCTTAAAATATATAAAATACTTTGACTAGTGTAATTGGTCACATAAGCATTACATATAACTGAAAATATAAGTAAAAATAACAATTAAATTAAAATAATAAAATAACAATAATAATTAATAAATTATTTTGAAATATAACTATATTATTTCCAACAATCCCTCACCTATTTCAAAAGAATGTAACGTAATAAAATAACTTATTTTAAAAATTGGGTTACAGCATGACTGTAAATGTTTCAAGTCAGACTCAGATAAATAGGACCTTAATTAACAATATAATCGGTGAAGTAAAACTTCTATGAAACAATACAATTTTTTATATAAATTAGAGTCTCATTTACACCATACATTTCTCTTGTTGTTAACACTGTGTTGTGCTTTTTGGTCATGCACGTGCTTGGATGTTCATGAGTGCTCTATAGACTAAGCTATCATCTCATATGAGCGGCTCCACTCCACACTCATATAGGTGATTCTATCATGTGTACAGTCACTTTATACACAACCTATAAGGGATATAGAATTCATTAAAAGCTTATGCTTATTCTCACGTTAATGCAGTCTAGTATTTCTCATGTAACACCCTCAATTTTGGTGCCCTTGTATGGAAAAAATAGAAATTTTGATGTAGGGTTTCTCGTTCAAGTAAGGTAGGTCTCACTCAAGCAAAATAGAACTTTCTAAAAGAGGGCGTTCTAAAGCTTTCTCGCATCTCGCTCAAGCGAGATAGGATAGGGTTGACCCAATTGTCCTCTCACTTAGGAATGGAAACAGGCTAGGCCAAACCAGGCTTTACTTTAAACAGGCTTAATCTGTAACATAATTATTAAGCCTGAGCCTGACCTATTACCTATTAAAGGCTTTATTTTCAGCCTGGCCTGACCTGTTTAGGTGGCTTGACCTGGCCTGAAGCCTGTTAACAAAGTCTGTTACAAAAAAAAAAAAAACTTAATATTAATTAAAAATATAAATATTTTATTATCAAATTAGTTTACATATTTTTTTACGTTTCATCTGTATTATTGATAATTATTAAATAATTGTAATAATTTTTATATAATTTTATAAATAATTTTTAAAATATTATTTGAGCACTAATTATAAATATTTCATATTAAATAAATTTTTATTTATTTTTAAAAATTATTAAATTATTAAAGATTTTAGTTTTTTTTAAATCATATTTTATTTGATTTAAGACATCTTATATTTAATAAATAAAGTCATGATAAACACATAAAATTGATTATAAAAAATAACATTCATACAATTTGTTGAATCAGCTGAAAGAAAATTATTATATTTTAAAAATAAATAAATTAAAATTCAATGTAATATATATATATAATGACAATAATAATAATTATTAAATTAAAAAAATAAAATAATTACAAAATATTTAATTTTATTTATTTCATTAATTTGTTATTTTACATTAATAAATACACGTAAAATTAACAATACTATAACATTAATATAATATAAAATAAATATTACTGATACAATAAATTAAAATATATACGTATATATAAAATATAAATTGATTAATTATCTAATAATTTAATTTTTTATTTATGTAAATATTTATGAATTATTGAATTTCAAATGTATGTTAATAATTATAATTAAAGTATTAAAGATTTTAATTATTTTTTATGATAATTATATTTTGTTTGTATAAAGACATATTATATTTGATAAATAAAATCACAGTAAACACATAAAATTGATAACAAAAAATAATACTTACAAAATTTATTGATTTAGCTAAAAGAAAATTATTATATTTTAAAAAATAAATAAATAATTTTTTTAAAAATTATAGATAAAAAATATTTATATTATAAAATTTAAGGATGCAGAAAAATAACACGAGTATAGTAAAAATTAATAAAATTTATATTTAAATTAAAATAACTTATATTTCTAAACTTTTATCCTAATAAAAAAATATGTAATAAAACTTAATACATATATATAATAACAATAATAATATTAATAACTATTAAATTAAAAATAATTACTAAATATTTAATTTTATTTATTTTATTAATTTTTATTTTAAATTAACAAATATACATAAAATTAACTGCACTGTAACATTAATATAATATAGAAAATATTACTCATACAATACATTAAAAACATATATATATATATATATATATTATAAATTAATAAATTAATTAATAATTTAATTTTTTAATAATTTTTTTAAATATTTATTAATTATTGAATTTTGAATGTATATTAATAGGGATGGCAATGGGTAAAGTACCCGATGGGCACCCGCAAAATTTACCCACAATGGGTAGGGTATTTACCCGCTATACGGGTACGGGTATGGGTGTGGGTAAAAACCCGCAAATTTTAATGGGGATGAGTGCGGGTATGGGTATCTAAGTACCCACCCCGCCCCATACCCGCACATATATATATATATATATATATATATATATATATATATATATATATATATATGTTTGAACTTTATTCTACAATTATGCATTGAATTTTTGTATTATTATATTACTTGTGTGAAGTTATATAAGATTAATATAAAAATATATTTAATAATAAAGTAAACCAAAAAATTTATTTTGGTTTATATTTTTAATAGAAAAATTTATTTACTATTTTATATCATTTAATTAGGCTAACACAATTTAATTATTACATAGTTAATATAAGATTAACTTTTTTTAAAATATTATTTATATATGACACACATAAAATATTTTTTACACAAATATTTTTGTTAATAAAATCATATTGATGTTTAAATCATAAAGTGAATGATAAATAATAAATATTTTATAAATATTTTATAAATTTTACAATCACCTACTATTACTGTAAACTTATTATTTATTAATAATATTTAAATTTTATTTTTATATTTTAATTTAAAATAATATTTTTCTATGTAACATATGTATTACAAGCACAACTATAATCTATTGAATCTAAATAATATTATTCTTACTATTTATTCACATTCAAAGAAGTTTTTGAAAAGATATAAATATAAAAAATTATTATTAACTTTTATTTGTTAATTTTTTTAAGATAAAAAAGTATAATTTTTTTAATATACACGTATATTTCTTTATTATAAAATTTTATTGTAACTATTTATCTTTTATTCAAATTCTTTTTTTTAAAATTTATATACATTATAAA